TGGTCAGGACCTGCAGGAGAGGGGGCCTGGGCTCCGGTGAAGGCCGAGGGGGCTTCTGGGGGTTGGGGTGAGGCCTTGCACGGCACTGACCTCCGCGTCCGAGCCCAGCGTCATGTCGTCGTGGCCAAAGTGGCCTCGGTGCTGCCGGTAGAGCCGTACGGCCTCCAGGAAGGCACGGGCGGCGGGGGCCTGGCTTCGCTGTAGGACTGGGGCAAGCGGGGAGGCTCCTGAGTGCCCGCCCACCCTCCTCCGCTCTCGCTCTGCCTGGCTCCCCTGCTCCCCAAGAGGACGGAAGCCCTCGTCCTTCCTGCCAGGTCCCGAACACCCAGGTCACACCCACCTCCAGACCTTGGCCCTCGCAGGGAACACGCTCCCCAAGACCTCGCCAGCCCAACAGGAGCCTTTACACAACGTGGGGAAGGCACCCCTGCGGCAGCCCCAGCCACGTTGCACCGCGTCTCCCTGCCTCTCCATTCGGGTTCATTCTTTCCGCCAACAGCCTGCCCACTTGTTTGTGTTGGTCCTGTTCCCTGTATCGCTGGTTGGCCCCTCCTCTTTTTTGGATCCCAGCTTGGACACCCCTCCTCTCAGAAGCCCTCCCTGATCCCCCAGGGGAAGCTCCCACCAGGAGTGTCCCCGTCACAGCCCTATCCTGTCTGTCTCTCCCCACAACCCATTTTACAGATAAGGAAACAGACTGGGAGTGGGTCCCACAGCCAGCAGGCGCAGAGCCCCATCCCTGCCTGACCTTCCCCGGGGCCCACCTGTGCCACGGAGCCGGATGCCACCCTGCAGGGCCAGCCTCCACGCGCTCTGCGCCTCCGCTGTGGCTGCGGAGAAACAGAGGTGCCTTCGGAAGGGGTGCTGCAGGAACAGGGGAAAGCTCACGGGCATTTCCAGGAGGGGGTCAGGCTCCTCCTGCGTGTGGTCTCCTGAAAGGAGGCAGAGGGGTCACAGCTGCATTCATGCCTTTGCTCTACAATCATTCGTTCTCCAGGAGAAAGTAACCATGAAATACTTAGAGGAGGTGCTCAATATGCATATAATCCGTGCTACCGCTGCAGTGTCCCTATTCCAGCTCAGTCTCCAGGGAGGATGTGCCCGGGCTTGAGCAATTCATCCCAGCACTGTCTCCCAGCCTCTGCGTCCTCCTCAACACGGTGGCCTGGGCAGCCACCAACAACCTATCCTAGTTGGCATGTGAGCTGAGCCCTGCTCATGCCATGCCCAGGTTCAAACTTGGCCAAACCATTTTCTGTGCGGAGGGCACCGTTTTTCATCTCTCCGATCCTGTAAAATGGGTTCGAAGGTGTTATCAATGACCTAGAGTGGTTGGGAGGACACAATGGGTGGATTTCATTCTGTTTAATCTATTTGAGGCCTCCTAAAATCCTCAGTGTTTTGTCCTGATCTCCAGAGTAGTAAACACAGACTGCAGGGAAATATATTCATTTTACTGGGCAAGAGGTTGGTCACTGGACCAGAAGCAAAGTAGCAAAGGGTGACACAAAGGGGTATGTGGGTGGATCCCAATGTTTGCAACGTCCTCAACATGCCTGCAGACTGTCCTTGTTGCTGCATTTGCATCATTGGCTGGCAAGATAGCTCCTCAGTGAAGTCAGTGATGCAGCTCTAGCTCTGAGCCTTTAGAGTAGTATATACAGACTGCAGGGAAATACATTCATTTTGCTGAGAGTGAGGTTGGTCACTGGACCAGAAGCAAAGTATCGAAGGGTGACACAAAGGGGTATGTGGGTGGATCCCAATGTTTGCAACGTCCTCAACATGCCTGCAGACTGTCCTTGTTGCTGCATTTGCATCATTGGCTGGCAAGATAGCTCCTCAGTGAAGTCAGTGATGCAGCTCTAGCTCTGAGCCTTACTGATGTACGACAGGCCTGGGCCTCGGCCTCAGTGCGTGCATCTGCGGAATGAGGTAGCTAGTGATGGGGCGGCCTGATATTCACGAGATAATGCAAGCCCTCCTCAGATGCATCCAGCCCAGCTGTGCTGCGCCTTTCCCTGTTCCTGCACAGTGTGCCCTGGGAGGGAGGGAGAGAGGAAGACAAGGAGGGAGAGATTGAGGAAGAGAGGAGGCCAGGGGAGGGAGAGGAGGAGAAGGGGCAATGGAAGGAGAAAAGGAGGGAGGGAAAGAGGGAGGAAGTTAGAGAAAGAGAGAGAGGGGAGGGTGGGGAGGAGGAGAAGAGATAATGGAAGAAGAGAGGAAGGAAGGGAGGACCTCCTGGAAACGCTAGACTGAACCATCACCCAGCACCTCCCCCACCCCCACACACACACCAGTGCCCATCTCCCCACAGACTTGCTGCTCCGGGGTTTGTTTTCACTGCTCTGCTACTTTGGTTCTGGTCCCGTGACCAGCCTCTCTCGCTGATGAGAACGGTGTTTCTCTTTCTAGAGTTGGGCTGCTTATCCAGAAACAACGCTGCCCCCCAGGGACACGTGGTCACGTCTAGAGACGCATTTGGTGGTCACACTTGGGGGGGAGGGGCGCTGCTACTGGCATCTAGTGGGTGGAGACAGGGATGCTGTTCAACACCCCGCCGTGCTCAGGGCAGCCCCACTGACGGGGCCAGTGCCAACAGCACTGAGGTAGAGACACCTGCTGTTGGGGTCCCCGGAGCCTTACCTGAGGAGTCTGGGCAGAGAGTGTCCAACAGGTGGAGATATTCCCGCTGGGAAGTCAGGACTGTGTACCCTGTCAGGGCCGCGGAGCCCAGAGGACGGCCCCCATTTTCATATTCCTACGAAAAGTGTCCAAAGAACCGCGTTGGGACGGGTCTAAACTGTGGCTTCCACATCTCAGTGTAGGACCCGGGGAAGGTCTGGGGTTAGCTGGGGAAATCCCCACCTCCCTCCCTGCCTCCACCTCCCCCCTCCTCCACAGAAGCTCTGCAGCCGCCACTGTGCGCTGGGCTGGGTGGGGTTGTCTCACTGAGTCAGACAGTCCCGTGCTTCGTGGGCCAGCATCACCCATCTCATAAGGTGGAAACTGCCTCCCTGGGCATCAAGGGACCTGAGTGAATTCCCCAGCCGGGAAGCAGGGCGTGGGCCTGACGCACGCAGGCCTAACATGGCTTCAACCTCGGCTCTGCTGACCACCATGAGTAAGCCCCTACCCCTGTCCCTGGCCTCAGTCCATCCACCTGGCACAACAGGAGATGGTCGCCCAGCCCAGGCCAGGGACACAGGGGCCCTCGATTCAGGCTAGATCAGTGGTCGGCAAAATGTGGCTCGAGAGCCACATGCGGCACTTTGGCCCCTTGAGTGTGGCTCTTCCACAAAATACC